GTCCAGTACAATTCTGTCATGCTCATTAGGATTCTGGCCGACAACCCAGGGCCCTCCTTCACCAAGAACCTCGACAAGCAATTCGCCGACACAGTCAAGCACCTACTTCGCCATGGGCAAGACCCGAGTGTCGCACAGATCGTCAAGGAGACACTGGATTCGATGGAGCGCGAGAAGGCATACGACACCAACCTGAACACGCTCTTCGCCATGTACCGGAAGGAGAAGGGCCTCATGGCTGCCGCGGCAAAGCAGTTTGGCCCCCGGAAGCTCAATGCGCCAGGCTGGTCGGGGTCACAGAACATACACGGCGGCTTCGGTTCAGGCGGACACAAGTCGTCGTCCAAGACGTTGCCGCCACCCGTGGAGCTCGCGGGGCGCATCGAGGAAGCGCGTACATCGGCCAAGCTCCTCCTCCAGCTCGTACAGTCTACACCAGCAAATGAACTGCTCGGCAACGACTTGGTCAAGGAGTTCGCTGAGCGCTGCACGGCCGCCCAGCGCAGTATACATGGCTACATCGCCTGCGACAATCCGGCGCCTGACGATGACACTATGCTCACTCTCATCGAAACCAACGAGCAGCTGTCCCTCGCTGCCTCCAAGCACCAGCGCGCCATCCTTCAAGCTCGTAAATTCATGGGTGCCTCACCTTCCCCACCAGTACAGAACGGTGCCTACGCGCCACCACCTAACGGCACCAGTAGTCCAGCTGGTGTGCCTGCGCAGTCTCCCGGGCTGTCAAATCTCCCATCGCACAGCGACGCGCCTTCGCTGGCCCCTATGGATTTCGGAACGACACAACCCAGCGCACCGGCTACCAACCACGGCAATGACAACAGCTCTCTTCCCCCGTCACTGCAAGCTGCACCAGGCCGTACACAACCCAGCGCGCAAGAAGAGAACCCATTTGCCGATCACTATACGACTACCTACACACCTCCAGCGTCGTACCAAAACTCTACGTCGACGAACAATTACGGTGGCTCACCAGACCCTTACCATCCAGGCTTCCAGTCTACTCCATCATACCTGGGCCGGCAAGAGAGCTCTGCCAACAATCTGACCATGCACGGTGCGCAACCGACGATTCAAGAAGAGGATGACCACATGCGCCCGCGGGCCGAACGACCTCGGACTCCCGATCTCAACGTGCCTCAGCAACAGGCCCCTGACGTTTCGCCCGTCGCAGAGCGTAATACCGTCACGTACAGATACTAGAACCATGGGTCGTGTCGCGGACTAGACGCGGACGTGAGATGTGGGGTAACGTTTGGCAGGACCGATTTCAATCTTGGATCCACGGGTAATCCCGGTGCTTTGAAATCGACAATCTGAAATCGATAATCACAAAGTGCACGCTCTTTTTCTTGCGCAGAGTTTTGCAACTCGTAGTTTACAGGGCGGTTTGGAGCGCGACAGTTAGGACGAGATACCATAGTTGACTTTCATCTGGATTTAGAGTTTAATGCTATTCTACCTTGCCTTGCCCCGCACTTGCAAGCGCACCCCCACGGCCATGCAGTGACCTCGTGCGTCTCACGCGTCGCTCTCGTGCAGCGATCACGCAATCCATCGATTCCACACTGCGCCTGAATCCTGAATCGTCACCATGATACGGCACTTTCACCCATGCATCAGCTTGGTCAGCGACGGCTCGCAACTGACCCCTCCAATCTGGAAGGCGAGACCCGACGTCCCCCACTGCGGTCCCTGTTCCGCCGCTTCTAGCGCCGAAGAAAATAAGAAGCCGTCATGTTGAAGACATACACTATTGACAGCCCCATCCGCCCTTCCCTTCGCCCTTGCCGGTCTTCACTTCCCCATGGCCTTCAGCTGCAATAGTCCATGGCTCGTTCGCTTCCGAAATGCGTCGACACGTTGATCATTGGTACGCCCTGGGAATAACACGCGCTCCGAGGCGACATGCTGATTACAAATTCCAGGCAATGGGCCGTCCGCGCTCATCCTCTCGTACATCCTACACGGCCATATCCCCTACTACATTGGCGGCCATCATGACGCGATCCTCGACGCGAAACTGCAGAAATCGCCGAATCTTCTTCGTCTGACGCCAGACCTCTACGCGCATTTCCTGTCCTCGTTGCGCTACTCGACCCAGGCGCTGCCCGTCAACACGCTGCTCGATACCCTCGTTCGCCCGAATGCCGATACCGAGTTGAATCCTACGTCCTGCATTGAGTGGCGATACGAGCCTGACAAGGCGATACCCCATGTCGCAATTGGAGACACGGCGCATGCAGGCGGGCAGTGGGCGGAGAACCCGGTCTCTGCGAGCGCAGACATTGGGACACTGAGCTATGCGGAACAGCTGAGCCTCCCGGGCTATTCGTACGCGGATCATCTGGCTAAGAGCGGAAGGGAGGATGAGGCCGAATTCGTGCGACCATCGAGGGTGGAGGTTGCTGACTATCTGAGGACATACCCGGAAGCTGTGGGTATCGCCGATAGCATATACACCGGGTTGAAAGTGGAAAATGTACATCGAACGGTCCGTGGGTTCTCCATTGGCAGTCTAGGGATCCGGTGCAAGCATCTTGTGCTTGCCTCTGGTATCTTCACCGTCAACATCCCGCCACCGCTTTACCTCGCGCCCGTCGCGCAGATGGAGTCGCCAGAGGCGCCTCTGCTTGTCATTGGATCTGGATTCTCTGCTGCCGATGTCATCATATCAGCACCTCCGACTCGCAGGATCATACATATCTACCAGTGGGCTCCGGAGAAGAGGCCGTCTCCACTACGAGGCTGCCACCACACCGCATATCCCGAATATGCGACGGTCTATCGCCAAATGAAGCTTGCAGCAATCGCCTCAAAGAAAAAGACCGCAAAGTCCCCTTCTATACGACGTAGATCAAATCCATTCCAACAGCGCGACTGGTCACTCTACGAAGGCCTGCCCAACGCCGAAGTCATCAGCGCATCCACCTCTGGAAAAACAGCGACCGTCACCCTCCGCCTCCCCTCAGGAGAAACCATCACACGCGAAGTAGGCGGCCTAGCCTACGTCGTCGGCCGCCGCGGAACCCTAGACTTCCTCTCCCCCAACCTCATTGCCGAGATCCTCAACACACCCGAGCACACTACTCCTCCCGACACGCCTTCCACCCACCTAATCTCCGGCCGCACCCTCCGCGCCAAAGCAGAAGCCACATCCCTCGAAGTCGCCCGCGACGTCTTCATCATCGGCAGTCTAACCGGTGACTCCCTCATCCGCCACGCAATCGGCGGCTGCGTCTTCGCTGCTGGCCGTATCTTAGGCGCTATACCCACTATATACTCGCCTGATAGCACGCCCTCGCCTACTTCCTCGACACCGCGGTCTGTGTCGCCGGTGTCGACGTCTGATACTGAGGTTGCGGCTGAAGATGGACTTGCCGGTGATGGACTTGCTGGACTGAGGAAGGAAAGGAGTGGGAGGCGCACGCCTGGTGAGGCGACGAATGGTCATGCGGATTTGCATGTTGATCGGAGGAAGCTGGTTAGGGCGGTTGAGACGGCGCAGGTGGAGAATAGGTATTGGGTTGATTCGGGGTGGTGGGCTGGGGGGTTGGGGCCGGGGAGGCGGTGATGGTGGATAGCAGTAGGAGATGGAGGGTTTGAAGGCGTTGGTGGGAGTTTGTACATACCCATTTTCATGCGAATATATATTATCTTGGTATAACTCAACGCATTCGTATGATGACCGTGTGGGAATGACAGGATGTGTTTGTCGATGAGGGTAATCACAAATTGTCCTTCTAAAATTTGCGCTTTCTGGTGTAAGGAATACGTAAAAGCCTACAGAGTCGATGTGGCTTGCATGATCTAGACTCTATTTACTGCTTTCTCTAGAGCTACTGTTCTAGAGTCGTGACGTGACTTGATCTCTAGTGTTTAAATGGGTAGGTTCAGCGTGGAGCTTAGACAAGATAGACTCGTTTAGCGATCTGAAGTCGAACAGAAATAACCGTGTACAGATCTCATGTGGTCTTTTACATTACAGTGGTTTAATGGCAACTGATAAGTTCTGTGTGTTTGCATTTACGTGTCGATATGTTTCAAAGTTTGGTTGGTTTTGAGTCATCTGTAAAGCTGCCAGTTCTTGTTGCAAATACATTCAAGGTTACCATTGATTTTTTGATCGTTGTGTATTGATTGGTAGAGGGGTTGTCTGTTGTTAGAGTTCTAAAATAATGGCTGTTTGATGGTGATAAAATAAAAGAAGCACTGCGTCTGCGCATACTTGACTTGTCCGTACGACGACAAGTTCCTTTACCATGTAAGACAAGTACTGATTGAGAGAACAAAAGTACGAGCCCTCCCAGGAGGAAATGGGAGCAAAAAAGAAACGTGTCTGTGCCCATTACCCGAATCTATAGTTGGTTAGTTGGGGGATTCGAAATTTGGATCTTTGGAAGAACATACCGAACGAGTGATCTTCGCATTACAAGTGCGACGCCTTACAGTATATTACAAACCTTAGATATCCGAACTTCGCATCTTGATCTAGGTTATCTCAATATTAGCATGCAGGCGTGAATGGGCAAAATAGTAAGACATTAGTTTTGCAAAATACGTTTTGTACTATTGAGATCCTACATAGGTATAAAGATTAAAAATTCAGGCCAGCTCCCCTTGCTACCAGCAAAGGTAGCAGTCGGTCCTAGTGCACGCCAGCACTGGTAATCTTTCTCTGAGTTCTCATGTGTCGGCAAATCAAATGTTGCAAAAACAGAACACTGGAGTAAAGAAATTTGGGAAATGTGCCGGGGTTGCGGAAGTTCGACGTCCGTAAGGGATCGTGAAGGTCGTAAAGGGCTATGAGGGTCGCAAGGGGTCGTGAAGGTTGTAAAAGTCGCATGGCTAAGAGCCGAATATTTGAAAGACCTAAAATAAGTCTTAGCATTTCTTTGTCCCGCATACAAGAAGCAGAATCTACTCACACATCGAGCAAATATTGAGTAGTGAGTGATCTCGTTTGACCACTCGTTCGGAGTTTAGTCGTCCTCGCCACCTGGCTCATCGCCTACCTCTTCTGCGTCGGAGAGGTCGTCCTCTTCTCTTGAGAGATCGATAATGTCGACCAACTGCTGCTTGAATTCCTCGCCCGTCTGTTCCAGTGCTGGCAGAGGCTGGGCAATAAGCAACGATAACCACTTATTATTGAGGGCAACCTCGTCTGATGAGATCTGTGCCTGCTTCAACAATGTTCCCTGAATCATACCATCTGTGTAGTACGCAGGTTCTTTGAAGCCATTGCCTGCGAAATTGAAAGCACCAAGTTAGTTCAAATCATATAGACATGTCGTACGTTGAAGACTTACCTGTAGTCCAGCTGCAGGAGGGACGTCCGAAGATCAAGCAGATTGCGCAAACGACAAGGTCTGTACCTGGAATAACAAGCTGCTTGCAGCCTCCTTTGGCTAGTAGATCTTTCGCGTTGACTGCCAGTAAAGCGCAAGTGTCGCAATTCTTTCGTCTGCCAGCGCTCTCAAACTCGCCATTCACGTTCAAGAGGCCACCTTGGGTCATCTGGCGCTGGATCTCTACAGCGGAGAATCTACCACCGTTGATCATCGTGAGTGGCTCCGGTAGTTTGATCTGGACAGTTTGGGTATGGTAATCGAAAACAGTTTGGAGGACGTAGGCACATCCCCTTAACTTTTCCATCCAAGGTTGAGGGTTGTTCGGCGCAGCATTGAACAGCCACTGTGTTATTGCGATAGATCTAACGTAGTTAATATTTGAACCGCGGTCGGTTGGCGCATTCTTGAACGTGAACACTTTACGGGTGTGCATGTAGCGGAAACGGAAGTTGCCTGAGCCGACTGGGTATTCCCACTCCATACGCACTGCTAATGCGCGGCCTTGTTGCCAGTTACAGAACGCACCGATCCGTGGTAACCTTGACCAGGCATTAGGATGAGCCTGTCCATCCGTGCGAACCTCGAAGACGAGGTAGTAGGGTTGACCGTTCGTGGGACCCATAGTCCCGTCCATGACAAATTGGACATGGCTGACACCGAAGAAGTACTTGCCGGCGTGGAATTTCTGGAAGACGTTGATCTCTGAACCAGCCGAAGCTCGTTGTTTCTCACGGTAAGTTGCGACCTTTGGTTTGGCTGTCCTGAACACCGAGATGGGAATAACTGATCCGTCGATACGTGACTTCTCGAGAATGTCATGGCGAAGGAAGAGAAGCTGTTCACTCTTCAGGCTCCACTCCTTGTAAGGGCTGCTGTAGTTTGCTCCGAATTCTACGCCAAAGCCCTCCCGGTCGATCGCGCCAGGCCATCCAGTCTTCTCAAAAACTTTCTCTGAGACTCGCCTAAAATAGAGCGCAGTCTCGATTGCTTCAGCATGCTCAATCGGACTGTCACCACCCAGCCTAAAGGGATCATCTTCGTCCACAAGAAGATCTGATCGGTAAGACTCTAAAAGGCACACGAAGATCTGTTCGACGAGGTATGAGAAGTCGATGTTATCTTCGTCCGTCATCGTGCAGAGAGCTGATGATTCTATGAATGCGGAATTGCGAGTCAAGTCTCCGTAGCTGCTGGTTGACTCTGGATGACTGTCGAATCGGTTACGGTAGTCGACTGTCTTGCCTATGTAAACGTAATATGTGTTTGCACGCCAACAGCGCTTGACGCTGAATGTAGATCGGTGATAGCGTATGTATATGCCTCCAGTGCCTTTAGGGAGCTTGCCATTGATTGCGATCTTGGATTCGTCGATGAGACTGTCGATGTTGAAATCGGGCGTGTTCAGCACCTCGTAGAGGCCGGCATCCTGGATACCTTGGAGGATAGTCTGGACAACAGAGGCGACATCATTTCCCCTGCCCCTAGAAGCTCTCTTTTCTAGGAGCTCAGCGATTTTTCTGCCCATGAAGGGCGCCGGATTTGTCACGAACTCGTCCATAAGGCCAGCGATTGTATTCGCGAGGACTGAGGTGTCTGCAGTGTTGGTCTTAGGAGGATCTTGCACGCCCCCAAGCTCCCATGTGCTGAGGTCCATATTGAAAGCCCATTCTTTGATACTGTTTTTCCACGGGTCTCCCCGCTTGACGACTCTGCTAGGTACCCACTGGTTTGTGTGCCATATGTCACCCTGAAAGTATTCTGTGATACCCCGGATAAATATCTTGACCTTTCCATCCTTCTCTTCAATCCAGTGGCCTCTCATGTCTTTCTTGAAGGCGGATCGGGTCGCAGGTACCGTGTAATCTTCGATGATAGTGCAGCCATAGTGGATAATTCCGAGACGCCTATCCTTGGGTCCGTTAGAAGGGATATTGTCTCGTTGGTCAATCCATCGCATAAGAGTGTTCGGGTGAAGATTCGAGAGAAGGTGAGGGGGAGCGCCAGGGGGAAAATGCGGCATGTCGTTCGTTGTAGAGGGGGGAGATGATGTGACCAACTATAGTTTTTGGTCAGAAAGAATCTGTAAAGATGTCTGCTTACTGTTGCTTACAGTACAGCAGTGGTTGTTCAGGCGGTATTGTCACTGCCTTTGTCGATATCAACACAGCCTTGTGCTGTGTGACAGGATAGAAATACCTTGGGCCTTCAACTGAGACGCCTGCTGAGTTCTTCTGTGTTATGGTTGTTGGAGTTGTATGTTGAAGTTGCACTTTGTCATGCGGGTTGACACTGGAGGCTTTGAATTGGAATATGTGGCTCAGGTTCGAGCAGTTTCCAGGATTGTAACGGACGTGGGACGTCAGGAGGTACGGTAAGTATCGATCGTATCGGGTGCTTCACGGTATCAGTAAATGCACTGATCAATGCATGCGATGAGAGCCTACTTAAGATTGGGTGTATCCTGTTCAAGAGCTGGGAAAACTGAGAATGGTGGTATGGGCCGCGAGAGTGAGGCAATGAAGGATTGCACGTATACCGCGCACGTAGAGGAGTTAGTGGTAGTGGACAAAGACGAGAGGCGGGCAAAATAGTTCCAGTATTATATGGACAGTCGATTCGCGCTATCTTCTTGGCTACGGGTAGTCTCGTACACTTACGACGCCGCTTCTCACCTCTCTAGGCGGCAAACATACTCATCTCCGTAAGCCTATACTCCTTTGGGCATCGTATTCCCGTGTGCTTACCTGATTTCGACAGTCAGCAACCTCGTGCTTCAATTTATTTGCGCTAAAAGACGGCTTTTACCACATTTCCTGTGCCAAGCCCGTTGTTACGGTGTGATACAGTCATGTATAGTCCTTGAAAGCGTCGAGGTATGTAAAGGTCAGGCGCTACGGGGTTTGACCGCAAGTTTCAGCGGGCACAAATTGCTCAACAGCCCCGTGGTTAACCATTTTGGGTGTGTTTGTTCGCCTCTAGATGTTCTCTCGCTCACTTGCACATGACGTGAACGCTAAGTACTTCTTATCGTCGGAGTGAGAGGCCGATGGCTTACCGTATCCCACGCAGCTTCTACCTGTATGTAATAGGTATTTGAAGCGCCTTACCCGTTCCCAGATCACTGCTTTTACTCTCTACTACAAGTTTGTTCGTGTAATTTACAGCCACTTCCACTGGTTACACCGACTCAATCCTGCCTACGTCAATCAAGTTTGCCTGCATTGAACTCTCTCCGACATCGATCCACAACAACATACACCCGGTTTGAATCCAAAGGAAAGCACCACTGAGTTTCTACCAGCACGATGGCCTTGTACCACCCGACCGATAACCCTCAAGCCATGACCTCCGCACCGCGTATAGCCGAACACCAAGACGCATACCGGACTTATGGGCCTCCTCCGAGCAACTTCTACATGTCGCGTACTACCACTGGAATGATCTATGCGGACCATAGTTCAAGTACCGTAGTCACCACCAAGCGACAAGGTGCAAGCAGCAACCACCCTTACTCGATCGCCGGCCAAGCCGCTCACCCACGTCCGGGAATCGCTGGAGAAAAGCCACACACTCGGGTGTCAACTATGGGTCTCTTCCCCCCTCCGGTTGAATACGTGCCAGGCTCAACTAGATGGCGTTGGCATCAGGATGGTTGGTCGTCAGCATTCGCTGCGGCTGCGGCACAAAAAGGTATTACCCAGACGGCAGACCAGATCCAGCAATGCTACGACGATCTCACTACACACCCGGACATTATGGCGAAGAAGTCAGCTCTTCTCTACGATCCTATCGATCGAGATACCGCAGTCTTTAGGGACGAGTCAACTGCGTCTCTAGTGGCTAGATACGGCTCCCCTGAGACTCCATTCAGTTTAGTCATCATATGCCCGTACGTACGAGCTGACGGTATCGGTTGGGAGCGTATCTACGATACTCATAATAGGCCACCAATCTATGCGAGATGGTAAGTAATATTCCTGTACGAGTTTTATGTGAGACAAACACTGACTTCGTACACTTATCCTTAGGTCTACTGGGGAGCAGGCGATCCATGAGCCACTGGTGCTTATGTGCATACCGAAGATTGAGACTAGAACTGGTAGAGAGTCATACAACAAGGATGCAGATTGGTTTTCGGTTGATCCAAATCCCGGCTCCGATTTTGAGAACGAGTTCAATCTCATGTCGAGAAGGTATGCGGCTTTTTTTCTAATTCATACTTACCTGGCTACATTCCGCTGACTGTTGTAGGTGGTCTGAAGAGGACTTAGTCACGATGATGGGCCACTTGAGCTTTCCTACGCAACTCGGAAGCGATGCCCTTCGATGGACTCTCGTTCGTCTCCATCGGTGCATTGCCATGGGTGAGCAGGTCGATGACAACGACCTGGGTTGCTGGATCGAACAATATGGTCAGTATCTACTGAGGCGAAATGACGACCCTCCTCCTGCGTTCAGGTTCAATGCAAACAGGTCCTACACAGGCCGACTGAACGTTCGGTACCGCCAACTTACAGCAATGGTTCTGAACCGAAAGCTTTTCCCCTCAGATCCTCCGTCCTTCGCGAGGCGGTGGGATGATGCCATCCAAGCCCTCATCGCATACAACCTTGAGCAAGACAACGAGAAGTCAAAAGAGTTGTGGTCATCTTTTAGAAAGCTGCTGAATTACGCCAGCAGGCCCTGATCATGGGCTACAGTCAGACCTGGCATTATCTTTGGGCGATGTTCAACTTCTACAAAGGGGTTGTCCTGGTCGCCACAGCCCTCTTTGACTCACACCTGTGTGCGATTCCTTCTCTTGGTTGCCATCCACTTCATCCCATGGTACTGCGATGACGCAGAGCGAAACGAGCCACTCACGACTTCCGCAACATCGACGACCTTAACGAAAAGATACTCTCACGAATGAGAGAAATCGCAAGTATAATACACTGGTCGCTACAGCATATGCTCGGTACGACGAAAGCCAAGACATATTGGGAGCTCGTGTTTCTTTTGGGAAAGCATTCGGTCGGCATGGATTCTTTTCTTTGGTTTCCAGCGGCCCGTATCTCCTTGTACCTAAGTTCTTTGGCTAAGAACTAAGACTGTGGGGATATTTTGAGTTTAGCTGCTTTGAAAAACGGTTTGTAAGAAGACTTCTGTGTTAAAGCTACATCCTAGACTTTTAAGGCTTCATGTATTAATTTATTGTGTTCTTCAACATTCTGCAGAGCCTTAACGTATAGTTGTATGTCGCCAAAGGCAAATGCTTCCATCAGAGCTGTATATGTTAAAGCGCGTGTTATCGTTCAAATTCATTAGCACACGTTGCTCAGAGATCATCATTCATATCGCACCCACGTTCTCATTCAGATCATTATGGAAACTATGGAAGGGCGGCGCCAGGACGGGAGGCAGGAGCCCGGATCTCCCAGTCATCGTTGTCATCGCCATCATCGTCATCGGCGTCGTCGTCTACGATCTCGTTCTATGTGTGTCAGCATGGTAAGTGAAATTGTTGCTAATGACGTCGAGAAGACTCTTGCGCAGTTTGCAGCGCGCGTTTGTTATCATGGATTCAACCTTCAGTCTTCACCCATTGAAACGTATCTGGGGCAGTCGACGAAAGAAGCAGGGTTGAGCTAGGCATGACGAGGGACTACTCACGGACTTCTTCTTGTCTTCCTTCTCCTTCTTCGCCCGCTTGGGCGGCTTGGCGCCCGCCGCCGCCTTCGTCGCAGGCCGCTTTCGCGGCACGGCCGCCACGGACGGCACGAGCGCGGAAGCCGGGGCCAGAAGCCAGTCGACTTCGACCTCGTCTTCGTCGTTCTCGTCTATACTACGTTAGCCCACCTGATACATGAATGTACGACCAAAACCTGAGTAGTGCAAGGCGTATCAAGTATACCACACATCCTCGTCCATCTGTATTGAGCTTTGTGTAGGGTTGTCGACCCGATCGGGCTTCAAGTGAGGGATGAGCTGGTCTTGGCGTGTATTGAGTTTTCCGAGTTTATCAAGGCAGGTGCGTAAGTCCAGTCTGCGTGAACTCGGATGTGTGTCCTTCAACGAGAGCCTCGACTTGTATGCAAAGTATGCACCTACCTTGGTCTTCTCCCGCAGGAGCGGCGACAACCGCGACAATCTCCATAGCCTCCGGCCCTAGAAATGTGTTAGTAACGGCTGCTGCAGCGGGTTGCGATGCAGCTACTCACACTCGTCCTTGATGATGGCTAGCGAAAAGAAATGTCAGCAATGCTCACGGAGAAACCCCCAAGACCCATTTGTGTCACAGCTCTCGAAATTGCGTCAAACTTAGTATCGGTTTGATGCATTTGATTGCGTACACTAGTCGAGCGTTTGCAGTAACTTGCTGTGCCGCGGGCAGAAGCATAGATGAGCTCATCACTCGAGATGCAGCACCAAGATAGGGAAAGCTGGAAAGAGTATGAATAAATGGGAGTAGACCTACTTTCTGGCTCGGGCGTGTAGCCCGAAACACGGGCGCGCGATACGGCGCAGAGTGATCTATTGGCATTCGTCAGTCATGGGTCAAGGGTGTGATCACGTAGTGCATCGCTCACTGCATGATGTTATTGATTTGGTTGAACATCATGAAGTGAGCGACAGCGAGGTTTGAAAATCCAGCTCCCACGTGTCTCGCTAACATTGAGGGCAGTCGCGATGGAGGAAGTCGCGTTCAGGGAACAGCTGAGTCGGATCACTCATATTTCGGACTAGTGGCATGACGAAGGAAGGAGCACCTCAGCATAAGTTCGAGACCGGACTCTGGACAGGCCCTCCACTGCGATAACCATCTCTCGTGAGCTCTGTATAGCTTCCTACTCTTTAATACTGTGAAGAGTCTGTGCCGACTCAGCGTTGAATGCGGGAGCTTAGAGGACTCGTTTCCATCTCGCAGCGGGCTGAACAACAAGTCCTAGGTGCTGCACATTGCAAAGCTGTGGCTGTTTGGGATCGAGGCAGATGTGTTCTGGCTGTAAGTGATGGAGATTCCGATCGTCGAGAAGGCATCTGAAGTTACTTGAAGGCGGGTGTATGGGTTTCCATAGTGCCGGCAACGTTTTTGCAGTGAGAATGCCGAACATGACGATCGCGAGAAGCCGATGCAAAAGGGGAGGTGCCGCATACAGTACTTCTAGACCATTTGAGAGATGAGCGTAGATAGATCAGCGGCCATAGCCGGAGTGAGTATCGTTGTGGAAGCTGGCGCAACTATGAAGGATGTTGGTATGTCAACACACACCTGGGCGCAATCTTGCCCCGCATGAATAGGTTCTTCTCTAGGTACGTCGCATTACATGTATGACCTTCTAGAAACCGCTGTGACGATTAACAATGAAATGATACTTCTTAGGCAACAGCGCAAAAAACTAACACTACGCTTCTTTGTAAAGAAAAATAATTTGACGTTGTGTTGAGTGTGAGCTGCAAATGCAGCAAAAAAAGAAGTTGTGTTATGCCCACTACCCGAATCTAGAAGAACTGTTAGAATGCGAATTCGAAGTGTGGAACTCATGAGTGTGAAGCTTACCGAACGAGTGATCTTCGCATTACAAGTGCGACGCCTTACCGCTTGCTATTGAAGTTGTTAGGACATGTTTCATGCAGTTGGATGAACAGTCGAACTTACGCCAAGCGGGCCTGTTACAACAGGATTGATGGCAAAAAGTGCAAACAGTAACACTATTACCTTGGGCGAGATGTGAATTTTGGTCGATTCGTGGGCAATGGTGGGCCTGGAGGGGTAGACTGGCCGAGTCCGCAGCCAGTGCGGGGCAGGAATGACACCACGCTTCAGTGCATTGATAACGATGCTTAGTGGGGCTCTACTATTTATTGGTTTCAGCTTGGTCGATTACGCTTTGTCACTGGTGGTAAGAGTGTAAGTACATCACTGAGATAAGGGGAGGAAGTGAAGCGCTTAGTTCAGGATCCTCGATTTCGAATACACATCGAAAAGGTTCCGCGCAACGTTGTGTAGCTGTGGCTACCTGGTTGCTACCAACAGGATCACTGGTCGCTCCATCGGTTGCGGGTGTGGTTTACTAGGTGTCTTGGACCACACAAATTATTGGGAAACACAAGTTGCTCATCAGAAGCATATTGACGATATTGCAAGTCTATGTTTCGTACAATACATTCTGATCATCACCGCACTTGGAAATGTCATGCTTCGCTGCTGACATAGACGCGAACAGCTATAGAACGAGCCCTTTGAGGCTATGGCGGAAGCCTTGAGACACATTTGTCAATAACCAACGGCTCTTTCCTCGATTCTGACGCTGTCGACAGTGCGCAAATTATTGTGTCAAATGGCACTGCTGCAAATGGTGGTGCCGGGCGTGCGGACTTCGGCAGCGCAGCCTGAATATTGCAACAAAACCAAGGGACGGTTATCTTACCACGAAAACTGTTGCTGTAGGGAAACAATTGCTACCATGCTCATTCACCAACTACCCCGTGGGTTATTAGTGTTCCGTGGCAAGGGCCGATCATTCGTGGTTAGCCTCACCTTTGTCCCGTAGTTCGAGCGTAAGCTCCGACCACCGCTACATCATCGCCGCTGTAAAGGCAACACGTAGACCAAGACTTTCACCCTACACCACATTTCCACACTACAGTCCTTTCCGATATAAACCTCTGTCGCAGAATCTGGCATCCGATCACACACAACCCAAAATCTCAATCTAGAATCAGACGAGCCGAATACCTAAGATGGCGGACAGCGGCGTGGACATCGCATCCCTCACAGCCGACCAGCAAGCCGCACTCCAGCAATACACCGCCGTTACCGACCAAGCAACATCCGACGCGATACCAATTCTCCAGCGCGCGCAATGGAATGTCAACATAGCAGTAACCCGCTTCTTCGACGGCGAACCGACCGAAGACCCAGTCGCTGCAGCCGCTGCACAATTACCACCGCCCCAAGACATCCGCCGACAAGAGACACTATTGAATGGCTTTGCTTCACCGCGATCCTCAACAAGTAGTGGGAGGAGGGTCAGGATAGAGCCTGCGCCAAGGGTGGTGCCGCAGCCAGAGAGCCAAGTTACCACCCAAGTTCCGCTGGTGCTTGCGATATTCTTTGCGCCGTTCTCGCTCGTGTACTCGTTATTCGCGAAGTCTTTCCGACTTTTAGGCTGGCTATTTCCCTTCCTACCCCGCGCGTGGGGGAGGGTGACGGCTAGCAACATCAACACACCCGCCTCTCAACGCAGCGCAAGCGGACGCCGACCTTTGAACCCACGAGATACCGCGGCGCGATTCATCCGCGAGTTTGAGGAGGAATATGGCAGCCACAACCTCCCGTTCTTTGAGAGCGGTTACGCACAAGCCTTCGACCTGGCTAAGAAGAACCTTCAGTTCTTGATGGTCGTGCTGGTCAGTCCCGAGCACGATGAGACGTCTTCTTTTATAAAGGACACACTTCTCGCACCAGAGGTCGTGGAGTTTGTACGGAATCCCGAGAACAACATAATACTGTGGGCGGGCAATGTGCAAGATTCGGAGGCATACCAGGTTTCTGCCGCGCTATCGTGCACAAAGTTCCCTTTTACCGGCCTTATCGTACACACGCCGCAAGTGTCATCGACAGCCATGGGCATCGCGGCGCGCGTAGCCGGTCCTACAACTCCACAGCAGTACATCGCAAAGCTAAGACAGGCGATGCAGCAACACACAGAGCCGCTGAATCGCGTACGCAGTCAGCGCGCTGAACAGCAGGCGACAAGGAATATCCGAGAACAACAGAACAGCGCATATGAACGCTCACTTGCAGCGGACCGAGAAAAGGCGCGCAAGAAGAAGGAGGAAGCGGAGCGGAAAGCCCGAGAAGAAAAGGAAGCACTTGAGCGCGAACAAGCCATTGAACGATACGCACAAAACCTCGCCCAATGGCGCAAATGGCGCGCCGCATCAATTCGCTCTGAGCCCAGTCCCGAGGAAAAGGACATCGTACGCATCAGTCTTCGCATGCCTAATGCCGAGCGTGTGGTCCGCAAATTCGCCGCGGATGCTCATATCGAGGAACTCTACGCGTTCGTTGAATGCTACGATATCCTGCAGTCTGAAGAAGGCGCACAGGAGAAGGTCGAAGAGCCAAAGGATTTTGAGCATGAGTACAAGTTCCAGCTGGTCAGTCCTATGCCGCGCGAGGTGTACGAACTCAAGACTGGTGGCACGATCAAGGAGCGCATTGGACGAAGTGGTAATCTGATCGTTGAGCGGACGGATCTTGAGGATGAAGAAGACGAGGATGAGGAGTAATCGCATGAATATAGTCATTGCGCTGGCGTTACGCATTTCTGCTCGACTTAGCGTGGGACGTGGACATCCACTGAGGTTTTTGATATGATAGATACGTTGGTTACGAATGTGAAAATGTATGTACGGCCAAACACGTACATCTCTACTATATGCAGTTCTATTTTTATCCTTTTGAGCCAGATTGCCCTATAAGTATTTGCAAGACGATGAACACAGCCACAACTGTGCTTCGAGTGCTTGTATCGGGTAGGCTACGGCTGTCTCGGGTGCACGGGCCATATCTTAGTGCCGCTCCCGGTTTCGTCGACGGGTGACGCATCACAAGCGTAGATCGTCCAATCTGCCCATCGCGTTCCTCCAGACAAGCCTCCGATATGATCGCATCAACAACATAACATGGACAGAGCGAAGACTCGCAAGCCTCATAAGAAGTCGCGAAACGGCTGCTTACCGTGCAAAGGCCGACATGTCAAAGTGCGCCTTCCCAGTCGAGTTACGAATTCTACTTGCGACTAACAAATCTCAAAGTGCGATGAACAGAGGCCCAACTGCGCAAACTGCGTGAAGCAAGGCACGGTGTGCGAATACCGACCTTCCACCAACCGCGAGAGTCGTGAGGCGTCCCATGTATCGCCTTTGCCGGCCGGAACACCAGCTTTTACGCCGTCATCCACAGATGGTCATGCCAATGCTCTTGATCAGCAACCATTACCAGAGTTTGGAACTATCGATCTTAATGGCGCATCCAGCCGGCCTGATCTGACGCTGAATATACCCCAACTACGGTTGCTCCAGTACGTCCTTTCATTTCGATCTTGAAGCTTTGAGAGTGTATCACTCTACCTCCAAGACCGGTCA